GTGAGCTGCTCGAGCCAAGTCTCAGCCTCCTTGGTGTTGCGGTCTTCGGGACCAAGCTGGGCGAGGAAGATGTTGTAGGCCTCACGCATCTTACCTACAGCGGCCTTGGAGTCCTGGTCCAGAGCAAGGGCCTGGGCCAGCTGGAAGAGGATGGTGGCAGTGTTGATGGAGTCCTTGCCGAACAGATCTTCGCAGACGGAGAGGGAAGCCTCGAACCACTTGCGGGAGTCATTGTACTGCTTAAGGTGTTGCAGCATAACGGCGGCGTTGTTCATCGTTGTGATGGAGTCGGGGTGGTTAGCACCGTAGATGATCTTCCAGATATCCATGGCGTGCTTGATGTACACCAGAGCGGTCTTGGTGTTGCCAGAGGCGTGCTCAAACAGACTCAAGTTGAGGTAGCTCAAGATGGTGTCAGCAGAGTCCACACCCATGGTGCGCTCAGTGACGATGACGGCCTTGCGAGCAAGCTCAACGGCAGCCTCCTTCTCGTCGGTCTGGTAGTACAGCATGGAAAGCTGGTGGTAGAGCTTGGCAACCTCGGGGTGCAGGATACCGTAGATCTGCTCGTGCAGAGACAGAGACTCCAGAATGAGCTCCTGGCCCAACTGTTTCTGGTTCTGCATGAGAGAGATACGGCCGGCCTCCAGAGCCTCCTCGGCCAAAGCGCTACGGGGAGCAGCATCGCGGACCAAAGGCACAACGTTCAGGATGTCGTCAGCGGTGAAGGTGACAGCGGGCTTGGCGGGGGCAGGGGCGCGAGTGGGAGATTTGGTGTCACCACCCTTCTTCTTGTTGCCCTTCTTCTTGGGCTCCTCGCGGTTAGTGCCGTTGGAGGTGGGGACGGGGACCACCACTTCCTTGACCTGGTCCTTGCTGAAGGGGTAATCGCGGGCACCAAGCTGGAGACCCAGCTTGATGGAGATATCACGCAGAAGCTGCAAGTGTCTCAAGGTGTTGGTCCAGCCGTTCTCCAGGGAGAAGCGGAAGCGGATAGTGACCTGCTTCTCGATCTCGGCGCGGAGAGACTCGGGTGTGACCTTCTCGAAGGAGAAGTCGCCCTCGGTGAAGATCTCACGCAGGGATTCGTCAATCTCAGCCTTGGGAGTAGCGTTGACGGCGGAACCGAGGAGACAGTTCAGCAAGTGAGAGATGCAGGGAGCAACGAAAGGAGCAGGGACATTGCTGAGATAGCGGTTGGCGACGTGCTTGAAGGCACGAGTAATCATCTCCTGAATGAGGAGGGTGGACAGAGCCTGCAGGCGAGGCCCCTTCTCGTTGGACTGCTGAGCCAACTTTCCGAGGTAGCGCAAGTTGATACCGCGCTTATGCAGTAGCTGGGTCAGCGATTGGCCGTCCATGGGGAAGCCAACATCGCCGTCGTGCAGGTCCTTAAGCAGGTCGGGAATAACCTTAGACCGCAGGTGGTCACAGGCTTCACGGACCTCCTTCTCATCCTGGGCCCACTGCTCCTTCTCCTCCTCGGTCTGGGGGACCTGGCCGCTGAAGACATCGGGGTTAAGAGCCAAGTTGAATCCGGAGATGTCAACACGCTCCTGGTCGGCGGCGTTCTCCTCCTCGGTCTTGCCTTCCTCCTTGGGGGTCTCGGCGGCGGCAGCACGACGGCGCTCTACCTCTGCCTTGACGTACTGGCTCATCTTGTGGCGCCAGTAGGACTCAACCAATTCAAGTCTGAGAACGGACATGCGGTGAGGGTAGACATCGCTGCCATCCTCCTGCTGCCACTCGGCATCCATAGGAGCCACGCGGTACAGATCCAAGACGTACTTACGGCCATCAGTGCCCAGAAGACCCTTGGTCTCAACGCTACCCTCGAGATCGTGGCGCTTGTTGTCCTTGTCCCATACGGGGTGAGACTTGATACGCAGAGCCTTGGAGAGCTTCTCGAATACGGGAACAAAGTCGGAGTGAGTAGCCACAACCTCCTTTCCCTCAACACCACCGTAGTCGATCTGGTGCTCACCGGGCTCGCGCTGCTTGAAGATACCAGGGACAATGCTCTGGCCAACAATACGCTTACCAAGGTAGTCGACAACTACGGTTCCAGGGGTGAAGAGTCCATCGATATCGAGCTGGTTGACAGCCTTAATTCCGAGGACATCCTTGCCAACAGCCACGCGTGCGGCCTCGTCACCACCCTCGGAAGTGAAAGTGCCAACGCCATCAGCACCGAAGGAGTAGAAGATGTTGTTGTAGACAAAGATCTGGGCGTCCCGCGCCTCAGTGGGGTTTAGAGGAGCAACCTCGCCGCGGGCAACCAGAACGGCACCGCGAGCAGCGGCTTCGTTGTAATCGGCGAACAGCTTGGAGGTCAGACGTTCGCGGAACACACGGTCCTGGACAGTGTCGCGGGGAAGCTCGCGGGTAGTCTGGAACTCCTCATTCCAGTCACGCAGAGTCTCGGCATTATCGACGCCAGAGATCAGGTAATTCTCCTGAGAACGAGTGATATCGGGCTGGTGAGCGTTTAAGCTGGAAGTAGAGGGGGAAATAAGCCATGGGCTGTTAGGAATGGCGTTCTGGAAGGGGAAGGTGGTCAGGAGATCCTTCTCGTTGTTGTACTCCTGCAGAGCTTCGAAGGACTCGTTAAAAGAAGGAGAGATATGGGAGATCAGAGTGAGCAACGAGTGGGCGCTGCCCTTCTTGTCCTTGGGCATGGGCTTAGGGAAGGGATCGAATCTGGTGTTCGAGCACTTGTTCACGAAGAAGCCGGACACGTGAGCGGTGATCTGGAACTGTTCACCTTCGTTGGTGGTAACCAAAAGGTAGAGCAGGTGGCCCTTTTGGCGGAGGTTGTAGGGAACGGGGTTCCATGAAGACAACGAGATAGACTTCACTGTCTTAGGAAGAGGAGCCTGCGCGCTAGGCAGGATGGTCTGCAGTGATGAAACTCCGGTCAAGTCGTATTTGGAAAGCGAGTGCTCCTTCTCCGAGGCATTGGCCTTGACGGCTTCCGCAGAGATGGCGTCGTGCAGCGAGAGACCAGCGGAGATACCGTGGAGATTATCAACCCGGTCACCAGAAGCGCCAATCAGCTCTCTGATGCGGACGACATGCATGCGAGCCTCCTTCTCGGTGTAGGGGTCCTCAACCAGGACGATCTCGGAGTCGGCCTGGAGATCCGGCACCTCGGACAACTCAACAAAGTCGTTGATACGACTGCCGTTGAATTCGAGGTGGAAGCAAGTGTATTGGAAGGTACCCGGTAGCTCGACAATAGATTGGCGGACATCCTGCACCTGTTCTTGGCTGGACACCTGTAGAAAGAAAAGAGTCAAACATACATTCCTGGATCTTCTTGGATATAGCACCCACCATCACTTGAATCTTATACGGAGCATGAGGAAGCTTCACAGAGATCTGGAAAAGACCTGGAGTCGAGTTAGAGAGCCTTTACACTGTCTCAGTGGTTACCCGACATACCGCCTGCGTTGTCCTCCTCGACGCCCTCGGGGGCGTTCCCATTGGTAACTTCTTGAGAAGCCTGGGGAGCCTCTGTTCCTCCGTTAGCATGTGTGTCCTGCATCTAGGTTTACCGAAACCTGGGCTGTTTTCCGACGGCCGTGAGGGCCTCGAGCTTCGAGCTTCCAGGGCTAACACACACACCTTTCGAGTGCTCCAACTCCCCATTGGTCTGCGCCATTATGTCGAATTGGTGAAAAAAGAAGCTTCGACGAAGGATAAATGCCACAAACCCCTATCCCACAACCGTCACGCGGATGGGACAAAAGTTCGGAAAAATGGGTCGGGAAAAAGAGAGGTTAAGGCCTGCGGGGAATCGGCAGGAAACAAAATCTTAGTATGATACAAGGAAAAAGGGCAATTGGGCAAGAAACAAAAACCCCGTACCCCAGAAAGTTGAATAGGATGTTAAGACGGTGAAACAGGGAAACCGGAGAGAAAATTTCGCGGATGCGGCATACCCTCGGAAGTGCTCGGGCGGTGGGTTCGGGGAAGACGCGGAGAGTGCCTTTTCTCCACTCTACAGTTGGGAATTTGTAAATGGTCTTGCTATTTAGACCGGTAAAAGTGTAGGATAACTGAGGTAGCGGGGTGGTGGTAGAATTAGTATATAGTTTCCATTGTCTCGTTGACAAACTCATAGATCATAGTATTTAGTGTCTTGCTGCCTCAGGTGTCGATGTTTTTGTCCACGTCGACATACATTGGCGATCGAGTAACTTACACCGTGGCATCTTGCTGTAGCAAAAACTTGTCGATGTTTGACTCGGGCTGGTTTTATATGCCTGTTGGAAATGCATGACTGCTCGTGTCGTGAACAGTCCAAATTGAAGCTGTTTGGGGTCGTTGTTGAAATATATATAAGGACAAATATAGCACTAGGATACTACGTCACTGACAAGCTACATCTACCCCTGTAACTTGGATGCATTACCACTGTTACTACTTTGATCTGGCTCCCCAGCACACCGGAAAAAGAGTCTCACTCGCCCAAATGTACATATTTTCTCACTGTCAGCTTTGTTGGGGCTGAGGACCAACGAGTTTGACGCACCAAAAGAACCAAAATGCTGCATGAGGGAGTCCAAATCAAAGAGCCACAGGTGCACAATAATTGTGCATTATAACATCAGAGAAGCTCATATCATATTCAAGCCAATATATAGATGATCAGAGCGTAGCCGAACCGACGCGCCAAGCCTTCCCCATCCCTGGTTCATCGAGGCTGAGGCCCGAGTCCACCTCTCGACTAAGCCACACTCTTCATTCGTATTTTGACTTGTTTCTTGATCCTTCAGCTTCTCTTTCAACTTCATTTTTTTCATTTCCAGCTCTTAGCTGAGTCTCTCGTTTCTCTTTTAATGACGCGTCATCCTCTGGAGTGACGTTGTGAACTCATTTCCCCAATACACTCCTTATATCATTACGCTTTGGATTGCGGTTTATCACCGAATTCTGTGAGCCTCGTTGGAGACCTCACGCCTCAAAGCACCCTATACACACCAAGACGGACCAGGATGCTATGGCACCGACTTGCACAACCGGCAAGGGGCTATGCCCGGCGGGGCCTGCCAAGACTTCGGTCTAATAACCGTGTTGTGGTGTATACACCGAAGCGGTTCAACTCAAACCCTCAGAACACCGGGCAGTATACCCCGGACCCTACCGACCAGCCTGATTCAGATGAGGGCAAAGGCCAAGGCCATGGCCGCAATGGCGACTCAGACCCTAACTTGAAATCTACGATTCTCAAGATGCTTGAAACCGCGGCAACCACTGCGGCATCGATTTTCATCTTAGGGTAAGGATTCATCACACGAAGTATATGCTACTGTGGCTAATATTTCCACAAGAGCGGCGGGTTATGGGTATCACCAGTATTATAAGTACTTGATCCTGGACAAGATGGACAATGCGTTCAAACCAGGTGATCCCGCCCTCGAGGTCGCAGGCGTTGTATCTGGAAAGCACCAGTACCAGCACGAGGAGCATTGGGTTATTCGCAATGAGCAACCCAAGGTTGACGACATTGTAGCCGGGCGAAGAACGGGCCACTACTACCTAATGATCGGCGAAAAGGGCACGGGAAAGACCTCGATGCTTCTAGAGGCCATGCGCAAGATCAATGGCAATAGCTGTGCGATGTTCGAAGCGCATGCCGATCTCGAGATTTTCCGCATCCGACTGGGTAAAGCTTTGGACTACGAATTCCATGAGGAGTAAGCTTTCACTATTATCAGCCACAAGCAAAAATACTGATAAAGTTTTAGCTACATCGGCAGCCTTTTCAGCATCCGTGGGCCCAGGGACACTACTGCCCTTTTGGACATTGAACGTGCCTTCAACAAGTTGGAGAAAGTGGCACTCACCAGAAGACGCTCCGGCTCGTCTCCGCTGATCCTTATTATCAACAGCACTCATTTGGTCCGAGACGACCATGATGGACAGGATTTGCTAGAGATGATTCAGCAACGGGCAGAACAATGGGCTGCCAGCGGCCTTGTCACAACCAGTAAGGAGCCAGCAAGTACTTCATTTCAACCTTTCTAACTCTCGTCGGTTCCAGTCCTCAACAGCGATGATTATTGGGTTTATGAGCGCCTGAAGCGTTATGCAACCCGTATGGAAGTCATCCCCGTGACCGACCTACCCAAGGACAAGGCAATGGCTGCGTTGAAGAAGTACCGCGAGCAGTATTGCAACCAGGTTCTCCCATCATCGACTCTGGAGCAAGTCTACGACAAAGTGGGTGGTCGCCTGTCCTTCTTGAGCCGTGTCGCCAAATCCGACGATATGACCAAGACCTGCGACGACATTTGCCGTGCCGAGAAGACCTGGCTTCTCAACAAGTGTTGGATTCTCGGAGAGGAGATGGATGATGATGTGATGGACGAGCAGAAGTTCTCCGTGAGTAATGACCACAAAGCCCCAACCTATTACGCAAACCAATCTAACTATAACCAGTCTGCGGCTATGGTCCTTGCCAAAGCACTTGTAGACCTTGAGAAAGAGATGGAGCGAAACTATGATCCAGAAGGAGGCCACATCCTACCAGAGATCCCGCTACACAAAGCGCGCGAGATCATGACCCGTGCCGACTTCATCCAATCTTACGATCATGAGAATATCTTCACCATCGACTCGCGAGCCATGGTGCGCGCCGATTCTGTGCCTATGCAGCGCGCCTTCCGAGAGATTTGCGCCATCGAAAACTTCGATTCGCACCTGGATAGTACTCTGGAGCGTATTGGCGACATTGAGAGTCTTGGCCGTACTCGTGAGTTGACGATCAAGGACCTCTGGAACAAGGGCAAGTACAGAGTAGTGGTGAAAGACAACCACGGACGTGAAAGTGGCACTGTGGAATTTGCGGTGGCAGAGACGGAGGAGGACTAATGCTTAGGGTTGTATACTTGGGAGGCCCCACTGTATATTAGCAAACCTGGAATTGTACTCCGTAAAATGACATCATCACGTGCTCACCGCTAGCACATTCCTGCCATTTCCTGTCGCTCTTGTGACTGCACTCAGTTCAGACTCAATTTCTGTATTGCAGTATTATCACAATCAGATCTGCAACCATGTCTCCCAAGAAGCGGACTTCATCGAGCACCACCACACGACCCGCACGCGACCTCATGGCCGTGACGGAGTCCTCTCCGCTGACGCGCATTCCCTCTCCGGCGCGCTTTATCCTTGTCGTCTTGAGCAGTCTGATCGTGAGCTCAATTCTGTTCACGCTAACCTCCAGCCTGACTCTGGGTGATCTCGGGCCGATCAGTAAACACCTAGAAGAATGGTGGGAAGTGGGGGTCTTGGTCGGCTGGAGAGCTGTGGAAGTCGGGGTGGCCTGGGTGCTCGGGTTTGATGGTAAGCAAAGCTCTGCACCCCATTGCTATCTTGCAGTGCCCCTGCAGCCATACAGACAAATTACAGAGACTAACTTTGGGTATGATCGTGTGAAATAGGTCGCGATGTCGCATCGTTCCTCTTCTTGACCCACCTACCGACATACTCCCTCTTGTCCTGCTTCTATAACGTGCGCCCGACCTCAGCGCTGATCTCCTATGGAATCACAATCATATCGACGGCTCTTCCATTTGTCGTCCTGCGCCGGCCCTCGTCCGTCCACGATCTCTCCCACACGCCCTCTGGCGCAATTGCCAACCGAGGCATCTTGCAGGACAAGCTCACCACTTTCTTCACGAGCTTGCTCGCAACCTCAATTTTCAGCATTGTGCTATATATCAGCTACGCGTCCTGGCTTCCTGCGCAACTGGTCGTGCACTTCGAGAGTCTCCCGGATATTAGCGCCGCGCACGCTGGACCCGCCGGCCTGCCGGTGCTCTTCCTGACTCTTGCTCCTGCTGGCTGGGCCGCGCGTGACTTCCTGTTCGTCAGCTCTACCGGATACGCGATCAACGACCCTCAGTCGGCGAGCGCGAGTCGCGAAGGCGAATACTTGATTACGGCTATTTACCGCAAGACCTGGGGCAAGCTATCCCCCAAGGCCAGAATCCTGGTTTCTCGGTCAATTATCCTTGCAGCTGGTATTCTACTCAACACCATTGTCCAAGTGGCTGGCACCATTCGTGATGTCTCTGTCGTAGGTGCTGCTACATGGGGATCCATCTGGGCTGTTTCTGCGCTTGTTACAGGAATAAGCTTTGGCTGGATTGAAGCCGTGGATGGTGTATGATATTTGACATGGGACGTTCTCGTGCAGGGTTTGATTTAGTGTTTCTGTGGTGCCTGGTGCCTGACCGGTGGGCGAAATGTCACCATTTCAAGCGCCTTCTTTTTTGATGGAGCCCACGAATCTCGATGGCTTTTCGATACTGCTGCAGTATACCATTATTCCAAGTTGATCACTTTCGTTACTCTCTTTTTTCCTTCTATTATCATTCGGTGCTTGATGGTTTTCCGCTCATCGATTACCCTCCAGATCATGTTTTAATAGGGATTCCTGAATATACGTTGCCGTTGTCTCGAAGGTGTATGCATTAGCATTACCCCGAAAGGCTTGCGTAATGTTTTGTACAAAAAGTTCGTACTCGGCATTTAGACCAAGAAATTACGCAAGCTTTCGGGGTAATGCTAATGCATGCACCTTCGAGACACTCTTTTTCTAGGCTATTTATAGCCTAATTATAGTGAGTTTAATCAAAAGTCTATATCAATACTAATTATCTCCTTAATATCAATCGCTGCCCGCTATTATCTATCTTTTAGGCAATCATAAACAAACACAGGTATATAGAAAGCCACACCAAAAGCAGCAAAAGAAAACCAATGACAAAACGAACAGCAATCACTAATAAAGAGGAGGACCGCGATTCACTTCCAACCCATCAGCAGATCGATTCATTTCCAGCCCATCAGTAGAAGATCTCTCCCCCTTCGAGGAAATGGTCCTTCCACTAGGCAACAACCAACCAGGATGAAGCACATTAAAGACAGCCACCGAAACAATCATCATAGCACCATCAAGCGCAATAAAGTAGCTCTCATGGGTAATAAGGTACCCATGCCAACCCTGCGACAACTCAATAGTCCGATAAATACTCCGAATATAGATGCAAACAATGGACAGCACCATCGCAGCAAACAAAGGAATAACCGAGCCAGTAAGCGACTGCAGCAGCCGGCGACGCATCGTGCGACGGACAAAGTCAGCTGCGCAGAATGCAAAGATGGTAATCGAGAACAGCTGGAAGACAATGCCGGCAACCATGATGTGCGTGCCTGGCGCGGTATCACCGTCAATCTTGCCGGCTTCTCCTGAGGCCATGCCGCCGCCGACGGCTTGGATGACCAGGGAGATTACGTCGCAGGTGCAGAAGATCCAGAGGTAGAGTTTTGGCTTTAGGATTGAGGATTCGTTGCCGAGGAGTTGGATGAAACGGCCTAGGAGGATGTAGATGCCTGCTGTGTAGAAGGTTGGGGCTGGTGATTGTTAGATGGTGCTTGGATATTAGAGAGGGGTGTAGGGCTTACCGATGATGAGGGTAGAGATTTGCATTAGGAATGCGGTTGAGTTATATGGGCATTTGGATGACCAGGTACGGCCTGCCCAGCCGATGACTTCGACTGTTGCGGTTGTTAGTGATTTGTTGCGGGAGGTAGGGTTCGGTGTCACAGGTGACAATGAGACAATGTACGTACCCAAACATCCGATGCTGAACACACTCGTCCACCATGTTCGCTTCCAAGTCATTTGGACTGTATGCATGATCATCGAGAGACCGAAGAGTGTGCAATAGGCGATGCCTGCTGCCAGCGTAGGAACGTATCCGTATGAGCTTTCCACACCATCGACAGGGGCGTGGCATCCAACTTCCAGCTGAAGTCTATTAGCCATATCGAAGAAAGTAAATAAACGTCGAAAAATGTATCGAATGAAAGACCGGCGGAATATCTGTATTTGGATAGAGAGATTTGACGACGATGCCCTAAGCGGCTCAGTGGAGCTTTATAGACAACAAGACCGATTGCCTAGATCAGAGGGGCCCCAACAAAGGACAAGGAATCAGGCGTCAATATTCAGAATCGAGAAGTATAAGTACGAGTCAGCATGGCTGAGCAGATACTAGCCCCCACCATCGGGGAAGAGCTTGCGAGGCCAAAGCCACGGGTTTATTAATGCACGTCTACTCCGTCCCAACTACCATGTTGAATTTACCGGGGAGAGACAAGTATAAGACCCGCACCGGAGTAGCCAATCGCAAAACAGGAACCACGCGAGTTGAGACATGTCCAGCGGGTTGATAACCGGGATGGCTCTGTCTAGTAGAGTAAATGAAGCGAGAAGGCAGCAATGACGTGGGAACCGCTAATACTTGACCGGAGCGTGGGAAATACATGGACCAGTCGTACATGGTATTGTCCTTGTGTATGGGAATATGACATCAAAGCCAAACAAAAAAGAGAAAAAAAATCCTTCAGATCTTATAGAGAGTCGGGCCGAACTACGTGCGTTCTCGCAAGCTCATCCCTTTTGGGTTTAGCGTGGAGCGTTTCGCCAAGTCAGCCCTGGGATGATTTGACCTCGAGAGTTCCAGGTTATCTCCGATCCGAGAGCGAGTATCCAGAGAGAGCGTTGTTATCGGCACTGCCGACGTTGGCTTTTGGGGGGTTTTTTAACATTCCGAAATCCGACGGCCCAATAGGTTTTTTGGCCCTACTCAACCAAACCTCGCTGAGGTGAGATCGTATTCATCATGCAACGGAGTTGCTACATGTACGTGATGGAGAGTGCATTCTCGAAAAATATTGAAATCTAGCCCTGGTCCCTGGCTCTGCGGAATAACGGACCCTAGAGACAACCCAGGGCCGCAGTCTCGGATGACGGCGGATGTGACAGCGGAAAAAGAAACGAGAACAAGATCCACCTACCACTCTTAGGTGGTTGTCTATTGCCGCTTAGCTGGTACATACTATAGGCAATACGCTACGGATATAACCTTAAAAGTTCTATTGGCCTCTTGTATAGATCTAAGCAATAACGTTATGGCCGTTGGGGCAAGGACATGTTAATAACTATAGCTCCAGAAAACTAAAAACAAAAGCAATTCCAGCACGTTTTAAACACGTTGTTTTACGCGAAGTTATGCTTCTCTTTGTGAACACACCAGATCGGCTTGCGCAGCGCACTTGATATACTTCGACCAAAACTTCAATAACCTCCAATCAGATAGGTTGTAGACTGACGGAATCATAGAGCCTTCCCCGCCCAACCAAGACGCCGCTCATCAATACGATACATCCTAACAAGAAGCCTGGAAAGAGAGAAAACTGACAATGTAGGAGGAACCCCTCATGTAAACCAACACAAAACGCAGCCTGTTCACACCCACTGGAACGAGATAACGATTCCATCGAGACCAATTCTCAACTCTCCTAGTCCAGACCCCAACGAACACAGATAGACAGGCAGCTACTGTGACCGACGAAAGAAGAACCAAGCCTTTTTGCCGTGGCGGTCAAGATATCAATACAACGGACCTATCCGGTTGGGCAAACGCACCATGTTCAGTGAGCCTCCTTCCACATAAGCAAGACATTCAAATGTCCGGCATTCTGTTCCAGATTTCCTTGAAATCTTCTGTACTCAGCAGTGGAGCTGGGGAATTGGGTCAAGCGACTACGGGGAGTATACTCGAAAGCGAGGGTGATGTCATTTACATTGATATACGGGAGGAGCTGCATTTCCCGTTGTATATGTGAGAGTCTAGGCCTGGGAGATAGAGATATTGTGTTCCTTAAATGCCGTACAGCGACTTTTGAAAATAGTTTACCCCTCAGACACTCACACTTTGTTTCTCGGCCCGTACCCGAAACCACGCTAGCCCCCTTCAGCTAAGCCGTAATTAATCGCTTTCTAATAATAGCCCACTCTTTTAGGTATTCAGCCTGTTGACATCGGCCGTCGATGATAGGAAACAACCTCAATAATAAGCCCATACAGCATAAACGACCCGAGATTGTGATATCAAATCAATAAACCGGAAACAAATATTGCTGATGAATTACTACAGTACTGCATCCTCAATACTCCAACGCTGCATTTTCCTTAGCATCTAGCTAGGCATCTCGGTCGTTAAGCATCCTCCTTATAACGGAGGATTTCCCCCTTTTTTCACCCTTTCGCACGGCGGGTAGGGAACTACAGTCCTCTACATAATTAAAACAGACTCTTAGCGTGGGTCTTTTTCCACGGTAGGAATAGCTTAACTATATCCTTAATTGTTTCTTAGTAGGGGCCTAAACTATTTCCGTTTTGTTGAAACGCTTGTTTAGTTTTCGAAATCAGTCATACCCCCACACTCTTTTTAAGACTAGTTCCGGAATGCAACTAATAGTTCACCGCTCCGTAATTTAGGCAGAAATGTACTGGTACAGTTGATGAGTTATCGGTATAATACTGTAATGCCCAATGGAGTCACATAGAATCTCTTGGTACCAAGCAAGGGTTGTACGTAGAGTAAACCCAATACGTATTAGTGTGGTTCGGGTACGGACCGAGAAACGAAACGTCTCTCCATAGGGGAATCTGTTTTCGACTCTCACTGTATACATATTCCGTTGCGACGACCTGTGCGAGGCTCTTAAGTTTGTTCAGGGAGGGGCACAGTGCACAAGAGGTGTATATATTTGTAGTAACCTGCATATCGTTTCGACGGGGGGTCGGAGTAAATGATATCCATCCATCCACTATATACAAAATCCCAACACGAACCTGAGCACCCGTAAAGAAAAGCGGTGGCACTTATCCCACGGATTGCGCATTCGGACAGTACATGTTTTCCCTCCCGTTTAATGCTCAGCCGTCCCCGCCTTTTGCTTTACTGAGTAGAACTGACCACACCCTGAGCCTCGCAGAAGCTAGCCTAATGGAATACACTGGCGTATCCTTTCGAATCATATTCCATCTGCTCGACTCATAGCAGTTTGTTCGAACCCAGGCCTTGTTTAAACAAAAATATCATTTTGCGCACCTTTGGCGAGCGATTTGTTATTAGCAAATTAGTTCTCATTGTAAGGTTATAGTAGATGAAGACATACCATTTTTCCAACCCCAAGCGGTGTTATACATCGGTGTCTTGCCATTGGGGACTTGAACGTTGTTCCCGGTTTGCTCTATAATTTCAAGTTACTTCTGGGCATACCGTCCAGGAGAGGGACTGACTCACGGTTGAA